CTTAGAGCTCTAAAAAGCACAAAGTAAACACGAGAGAAAAATATTTTTCCCTTCTAATCTTGTTTGTTAAGCCATTAGAGGTGCTACTTATTTTTGGCCAAAGAGGGGAGAAGGCAGTGTTTACAGCTGGTAATAGCACTTGCTTTTTTAGTCTGCAACCCTTTAGAAAGGCATAACTAAAGCAAACAAGCGTGTTAGTATTTTGTGAGCCTACACAAAGGAAACAGAAGTTCACATCCGCATCAGTGTACTGCTCTCCGATTACAACACTGACATGATTCTAATGTAAGGGTACACTAGGAGGCTGATAAAGCAAGCCCGCAGTTCATCATCAGCTGGCCTGTTTGGGATTGCTAAATCATGCTCAAAACCTTAAAAAACAAGTATACATACATGTTTCTGTGGCATGCCTGCTGCCAAGGCAAATCAGAAGTTCACAGAGGCAGCAGGATCACAGCCTGATAGTCTTCGGCAGCAACATCACCAAAACTCTCTACTGCAGCCTTAAATACGGCAGAAGCAAAGACAAATCACGTGTGATGAGCAGTTGAGAGCTTTTCACTTAAAAAAAAAAAAAAAAGGCATTTCACAGCCTTGTCATGTTACTAGGCTTTTCACTAGGCCTTCACTAAACAAAAGGGAAGCTGAATTTACTCCTAGTACTCTAAGAGCCCACACTCAAGTCTTCTGGAGACACCCCCAAAGAGTCATCATGTCTTAGTGAGATTCCTCTCGCTCCTTTTCAACTTTACCTAATTCAGCACATCTTAATTTTCATTTCTTACATGCACAAGTCCTTGTGGGGAATACTCTTACGAGAGAGGACTTTAAGCTGTCCAGCCACTTCTCATAACTATCTACTGACATGAATCTTGCTTCCTCTCTTCCGAGTTCCATCTTAGGCACTTGATGGGTGAGACTGTCTTGTCTCTAGTTAGGCCAGAGACAGACTGATCTACAGCCCAGTGTTTGGGGCACCTGCCACTTTACCTCAGATGCAAATAGCAGTTTAATAGTGACATGCAGTCAAAGTCCCCACCATGCTAGAGCAGGTTACCCACACGCTCTGGCTAACGAATCTAAATCAGTTAGAGGAGCTCCTCTGGGGGCCACTAGTTGCAATGGCACATAACCGCTTCTTGCGGCTTCAGCGTTTTGAATCTAGAAAAACAGAGGAATTCCACCAAGTGAGCCAAGAATTTCCAGTCAACACCAGTCCCAAAAATGATGAACCATCAGGGGACAGTTACAAGCAAAAAGGCTTCCTAGGCTGAGTGATGCACAGTGAAAAGCTCAATTTGATACTCTGCCCCTTGTTGTGTTACTGTTCTGCACACAGTAAGGAGACGTGGTGGGGGGGAGGGAAGGACGGACTCTGTGCACCAATTCTGTTTCTGTTCAGTCCTTTGCTAACACAGCGAAAACCGTAGCTGAAAATATGGGGAGCAGCTAATATTTAAACCAGTGTGTACAAAGAGCAGTCATGCTATGTTTACGTTCTCCAGAGTATGAGACTTAGTTTAAAGTAATTTTTTTCATCTGTTCCCCAGACCTGCAAGGAAAACCCAACTGTGACCACACTGCAGACAGATCGAGCTATTTTTAAGTGATGTAGTAATGCATCTGATGTGGGAAGTGAGTTTGTGTCCAGACTCTGTCCTGCTCCCCATAGCTATTTTAACGCCCAGTGACAACACTTGAGAGAATTATCATAATAGATGGAATAGAAACGCAGTGCAAGGGAAGTCCTTAGGACTTCAACAGCTTGCTAGAGAGGAAGAAACAGAACAAGACACCTAAAGCTTGTGGAACAACAAGAAAAGGGGCAAGAATGACCACAGTTTAAAAGAAGAACTTTTTGTTGCACTGTACAAATACTTGCTTACTTATTGCCTTCTTGATCTCCTGGAGCTCTGCTTTGGATCACGATGCACATTGAAATCCAGCATGTATATACCATCCACCACAAGCCCAATAATTTCCACAACCCCTTTTTATTCTCCAAACTCCCAGTTAGCAATTCCTTCCAGTGCAGTGGGAATAACATTTGCAAAATAGCATCAAAATATCAAAGCATCGTACAGAGAATAGCAAAGCAGTGGCTGTTTGCTTCCATTAATCGAGGTTGCTCTCTCCACATATACAGAGTTTGTTTTCTCAGGAAAACAAAGGAGTCGCAGCACACTAGGAGGAAACAATAGAGCAACAGGGAAAAACAACAACAGCTGGCAGAGGCAAAGTGTTTTCTTTCCTGTTGGAAGAGTAAAGCCTCCTGTTTTGCAAGGGTTTTTTGGTTTGTTTTTAAATAAAGAACTTTCCCCCCCAAAACAGCAATAAAATGGGGCTCAACTTACCCTAACTCCTGAAAAAAGGAGGGAAAGAAGCAGCGTATTTTAGGGAGCAAAAGCAAGCAGAAATGAGGGGAAAGGGAAGCTCTATTTCCCTCCCC